GCCCCCTCACAGAACTCTAGTCCTGACTTGCTCATTTCAGCTGCTTTCTACAGTACCCTTCCCCAATATGATGCCCTTAGATGTGTTCAACTGCTAGTCCCACCATTTTTCAGGCCCAACAGTTTCACAGTAAGCTATGTGTTGCATAATATGATATATAAGGCTGGCTGTGACATTTTGCAGGTAAACCTTCCTGTAGCATGAAGTGTTGCGGCACAGCCCCATCTCTACAGCAATAATTACATTAAAATTTTCCACCAAGGAGCCAACCTACTGAACAACTAAACTGATTATATTCCTAGCCCATGCTGGGCAGATTACATGATATATAAAAGAGCAGTACACAATTATTTAACCCCTCCCTCAATAAGTTCAGAAATACAATAAAGAATATATAACGTAGCTTTGTCATCACTCTATGGACAACTCTAAACTACAACTTCTAGAATCTAGAATGCCTAGAAGAAATGGAATGTCTTCCAGTTGGAGCTGAAAAATTAACGGTGTGGGCACCAAGCAGGCCTCTTTGGGGAGAGCGTTCCATAAACAGGATACCGTAACTGAGAAGATCCTCTTTCTTATAGCCATTGGCCTAACTCCCTTTGGTAAGGGCACCCAGAGGAGAACTTCTGAAGATGACCCATGGATCCTGGCAGGTGCACATAGGAATTTAAGGTGCTCTTACCTCATGCCTTTTAGGACATAAAGGTTAACACCAACACTCTGAATTGCCCTGGACTAGAAGACTAGAAGCCATTGCAGCTGACATCTGGTTGTATTGACCAATTCCAGTTACTAGTGTCACAACTCTATTTTGGACTAACTGAAGTTTCAGAACTATTTTCAAATGTATCCCACAATACAACACAGCACAATAACCCAACTGGGAAGATCCCCATTGTGAGGCTATGTTTGTCCAAATAGGATTGCAACTGGTAAAGCAGCCTAAGCAGACAAAAGAGACTGCTAAACATTGAGGCCCTCGGTGCCTTGTGACAGTGATACATCCAAGAGCACCTCAAATTGTACACTTGCTCTTCGGGGGAAGAGTACAACTTTGCTTTGAACAGGGTGAATGCAGTTTATTGGTCTTCATTCAGTCTTGTGCCCTGTACTCCAACAGCAACCGAGGAACTACTGTATTTCTGTTTTAGAGTGGGGAAAACATTTTATAAGAAGCATTCTGCCATCTCTGTTAAACTGGAGGGAATGCCTGTTCTAGAATTGGTTTGCCAAGGGCTGGTTTTTTTTTTAAAAGTGTTTACATTAAAAATAAGCACTACTTTAAAATTTGCTGGATTAACATGGCAACGTTTTGGTCAGTTAAATCATATCAACTAACCAATTAAACATTTATTTTTTCCATGCAAAGCATTTATTGTACAGTTTTCATTCCATACTCATGGTTGTTTCCAGGTGCTTTAGACAATGTTGTGACATTCAGTTTTGCTTCTGTGACTAAATAGCACTTTCCACAAGTTTTACACAGCAGGGAATACTGCTATTACATTCAGGACATCCAGCGCCTCGCTTCAGATAGATAGGTAAAATTAGGTGACATCAGGATATGATGACACCTCAGCCCACTTACCTGGATTGCCTTCCTCAAAGGCTTCTTGTAAAATAGCATAAAGATGAAATAAAGCTCTGCAGAGCTCCATAATATAACTACAGGGGAACAATGTATTGATTCTGTCACCTGGAAAAGGCCATCCAAATAGCAATGCAACAGTCAAACAGTGCCCCTAACTCAAACTGCTGAGCCAGAAGGACCCTACTGTTAATAGTAACATTGCATGCATTCTGTCTCTCAGCAAAGATCATCCCACAGGGATAACAAGGCAGTTTCTGTCCCAAAACTGGGCCTCAATTCAGATTGAAATGGGTCTAGATAAATTTCATCCAACTGGTCTATAGTGGGTCCAGTGAATCTACTTCAAGGATCCAGTGATTTCTGTCTTTCAGAGAGGCTGATAATGCTCCTCCTCTCAAAGAGCAATTTATAACTACTTGGACCCAACCGACCATCTCCTCTTTATCAGCTGAAACAGCCAAGAATCAAGCAAACTAGGAGCTGGTTAAATTCATCCATGAATATCGCCTTCATCCTTGGGCTTCAACAACTGTAACTTATCCAACACAACTTCACTAGACAGTACCTCTGGACATTGCAGTCATGGGAACTACACTAACCACAGCATCTCAGTCATGCTGGAGAAGGGCAATTACCTTCAAAGTGACTTACTAATTTGTAACAGCAAGCCATTAAGGAACCAACCAATTCCCTTTCGGGGGCAGATGTAACAAACCCTTCATCACCCAGGACAATATTGTAAAAGAGCACTGGAGATGGAAATATGACCCATCCACACACTCTAGTGTCTGGTAGATGATATATCTCCCAGAAGTGCCTGTTGACTGATAGAAGTGTTTCGAGTTGTCCCTGTAGATTACAGTTTATATTTCAAATCCAGCTAGGTCAGCACTAATGACACTTGCTCATGATATCATTTTAAAAGGTAGTTATAAAATTGCTTTTTATTCATGCACCAGCAACACTGCCATTTATTGCTGAATACTACCGGTCACTGGAACAGAAGAGCCTACAACAATGGTCAGCATCCAAGCAGGATCCAAAACAGCTCCTTTGGGCCTACTGAAGCCTTGTGTATGCCTGGGATTTGTTAGTTTTTACTTTTTCCCTTTTAAACAGCATATATACATGCCACATTCCTAATTGCTTTAGAGACAACTAAGCCTCAAAAGCGTCTTGATGTGAGCACTGGGCAGTGGTGCTCTTCAGCACACATATATGCTACAGCACTTCCACCCCACCTGCTGTTCATAAAAAATCTACTTGCAAAAATCAGTCACCTTAGCAATTAAGAACTGCCTGAGATATAAGACAGAAATGTAAAATTAAACAAAAATAATCTCATTTGTATGTTTCTTTTGATTATGTCATTGTATAGTATAGCTACATTCTTCTAATTTCAAATGTTTGCTTTTTGCAGAAGTAGCACAAGAAAAATGTGCAAGGGTAAAAAAGTTCAAAACAAATGGCTCTGTATCTAATTTTCAGGTAGACTGGCCATATTTTGTTATTTTACTTCATTTCAAATCACTTTCCTGTCTACTCATCCCAGGGAGAATGTTGAAGGTGATTTGAGGTTGGATGAGGGCAAACTAGCTGAAGTTTATACCATGGTAAACGGAGGTACTGAGGGTAGGAAAACTGATTGCTCCTGTTTTAGACTGGGTCCCACTTGCCAAGAAGGATCAAATTTATAATTTGTCAGTTTTCCTGAGCTCAATTTCAACAAAGGAAGCTTAGGTGGCAGTGGCACCCAGGAGTGCTTATTTCCATTTTAGGCTGGTACAACAACAGCATCTGGAGAGGACAGACCCTTCCTAACTTACTAATGACTTAATATCTGGGCAGTGTTATTGTAATGCACTCTTTGTGGTGTTGAAGTCTTGACAACTTGAACTTGTATGAAGTGTGGCCACCATAGCACTGGTTAGTGCCAGGTAGTCAGCACATGTGATACCTATACTTTATGAGTTTTACTGGCAGTCAGTGCAATTCTGGACCCAATTTAAAACACTACTAGTAATTTTAATGCCTTAAACCACATGGAACTAGGTTATTAGAAGGAGCACTTGTGAAAGGAATCAAGCTGTAGTGCACAAGGAAGAAGGATTTTGTGGCTACTATGAAAAAGTTGTGGAATTTTGTTCTGACTGGGTTTCAAAAGGTTCCTATAGGCCTTTAGGAAAATGGACTAATCCATCCTTGCTAGGATTAATATCTACTCAAGTTGGTTTGTAGTTCATTACTCTCAGCCCAAACCTCTCTCTGCAGGGAGCCACACCACTTTTTATTATGAGTCTATTAAATAAAGATTTGACTTGGCCAACCTTTTTTTGTTAGACTAATGTAATGTCCTTCACTTTATTGCCCTACCTTTGCAACAACTTTAGAAACATCTTCAAGTTCCCACATCTTACAAACAGGATACAGAGGGCATAACATCATGGTCTTGGTTTGTTTGTATGCAATGTCCCTTTTCTTCTAGGCACAAGCCAAAGAGCTTCTTTTATCTTTGAAGGCCTAATGTTCTAGGACCAGCGTACCTAAGGGAAAATCTTAGGGAGAGCCTCCCATACTTAAGGGAGAGCCTCCCATATATTTCTCCCCATTCCCTCAGATCAGCTGTAAAACCTTATTTCATGACCTGCATTTTACACAGGTGCAATTTTCCAGGCAGAATTTTAAAAAAGGAAGGCTTTACATGGAGCACTAACACAACAGAAAGATAAGTTATCAGACTATGCTAAACTTTATTAGAAGGTCATGTGCTTTGGAAAATTATTTTCCTTCTTTGGGGGCAATCTGAATATAAAAACAGATTATCACTAAAGTAAAAGAGTAATTTTTCAATTTATGTGTTGGGTTCTACTGAAATGTTGACACTTTTGAGAATTACATTTTGTTTCTTATACAAGTTTTATATATTTATTGCAAATTGTAAGAGATAGATGGAAGATGTTCATCCACAGGAGGTTTATCTTATTTATTTTTTATCAACCCTTAGCCAGATGAGAGACATGAAGATGTTTAATGAAAGGACAGTTCCTTCTGTAACCTTGTAACAGCATTTTACACTGTTGTTCTTTTACACTGTCATACCAGCATCTGATGAGTCTTTTACATCCAAATCAGATTAAATGTTAGAACATTGCTAATTTTGTTTCTAAATCTTTGCTTTGCCCTTAATCATGATAAAAGAAGAAAGTGAAACCAAAACCTAAATCAGTTTGTTTTTCTTTAAAGAAAATGTTGATACAACATTCAGTCATCATCATAAGACCAACACAATTGTACCTTTTAAAATTGACATTTTTATGACCACTGCAAGACTCTACTTATCCTAGTACCACTGAGGATTATCCCTAACCGTGAGCTATTATTAATTGCTAAATAACAAAAGCTGTACCTTGTGCTGTTCAATTGCATCTATCCATTGTTGTCTGTGATCAGGATCTTGAGCCCGTAGGTACCAAACACTATCATTTACACTAATATCAAATCTGCATTCATCAAAATCATGGGGCTGTGGAATGAAAAAAAGGAAGACTTAAAAATGAAGGCAATAAACCTTTACAAATTTCAAAGCAGTTCAATTCCAGTTAGTTTTTTAAAAAGAGACACTTCTTATATCCTCCATGGGGCTTTTGGTGGTCAATCAAGTTCATGCTTGTGTCCTATCAATTAAGTTGTGTCCTTAGATGTTTCCAGATAATTCATTAGGCACAAATCATATTAATGAATTTAAATTTCATCTACTTATTTTCTTTGACAGGCATTACTGCTTACTTTGACTGACAGTGGCTCTCAGACAGTGGCATTTACCATCACCTACTACTTTAAGAAAACCCTGAAAAGAGTAAGGTTGGGAATACGCTCTGAGATATTAGCCCTCCATGATCAGTCCTTCTTATTTTAAATCATGCAATCTATGCTACTGAGCAGAAGGGAGGGGAACTCATATGTAGGAAATACTGAACAGATACTGGTGACCATCTCAAATCAAGGCAAGAAATCTAACAGCAAATTATTTTCTTGGTCTGTGACTGTACTAAATAAATTATAATAATAACAGCATGAATGAATGAGGCATGAATGAGAGCAAAGAAGCAGGCTGCTGCTGGCATGCTCCTTACTTCTTTAAGAATAATAAAAAATATATAAAATAAAAGAATGATCCACGGCAGAAGCTGTAAATATTTAATCTTGATCTCTCCCTAAAACAACAAGGACCATTTGTTTATTAAAACATTTATATTTTGACTAAGAAACAACTCCCCAAAGCAGATAAAAATACAGAGAACAAAATGCAGTTAATGTACAGAGCACATAAGAAACTGGCCAACCAATAAATATGAGGGCCAGAGGGATTATATATGAAATGTTCTGTTCTGTTATAGCTTTTGTTTCTTTTGACTAAGAAGCAACTCCCCAAAGCAGACAAAAGCAGATAGAAAACAAAATACAGTGACGGGATGTCAAGCAGAGGTGGGTTGAGGCCTGTTTTGCCCTGTAGAGGAGGGCAGGACACATTTCAATGGAGCAAAGCTCAAGGAACCAAGGTTCAAATTAGATGCCAGGAAGTACTTCCTGATGGTTAGGACTCCTAGGGTATGGAAGGAGCTTCCATAGGAGGTGGTTGAAGCCCCATTGGTGAGGGTATTCAAGGATAGGCTGGACATGAACATAGTAGGCCTGTCATGAGCAGAGCCGGCTGGAGGTAGCAGGTCAGACTAGATGACCTGGGAGACCCCTTCTGACTTGCTATGTTTCTACAGTGCACGTAAGGAACTGGTAAACAAGTAAAAGTAACAAAAGTTATAACAAAACAGAACATTTCATATATAATCGCTCTGGCCCTCAGTATAAAATTATATTTCTTAAGTACTATAGAAGAGATGGATTTAATGAATGAATGAATAAATAAATAAATTATACAACTCTTCTATACCATGTAACAAAGAGACTTCTATCACTCCTCTACCTTAAGGAAAAAATTTAAATAATTTCCATCCAGTTCTCCATGTGTTTGTAACTTGTAGCTAGCACACACGGCTGATACAATAAAATAGTCATAAATACTGTATAACATAACATAATGTCTGCAGAATACAATATATATACTGACAGAAACAAGCTAGCAAAACATTTCCCCAAAGATAAGAATACACTTTATAAATAAAAGCAATTATATGTTGGTAAAATGCACATAAACTATTCCCTAATTAATCCAAAGTGCTAGGAGAACACTAGCAAAAATTAATCCAAATTGCAGAGAGAGCATTAGCATACAATATCACAACTAAATGGAAAGTATTTCAATGCAGCAGAAGATAGTAGAAAACAGAAGTATATTGATCTTAATTGATCAAAGAGCAGAAAATAAACTCACATTTCAGTCCCCCTCAACCACCTGCATAGTTCATATTAAGAAATTTCACCAACAACATTGGAGTGGCTATTTGAATCAATGATTTAAATAAGCAAGACAAAGATCAATTTAAATAATTCCTTTAAGATAAAGGAATAAGATTGATAAATCTTCCATATAAGCATTTAGCTCTTCCACATTTGTGCTACAACTTAGAACTGAAATGCACTGAATAGGTATTGCTACCATTTGATGTGCATAATATACTTAACACCATGAATGTGCAATATTTTTACTGTGGTGCAAAAGGTAATAAAAAGAAGAAGAAACTGGCACTTTCCAGCTGCATAAGTATTCACTCCTTTTGCTGTAATATGCCTAAATAAGCTCTGGTGTAACTCACTGCCTCCAGAAGACCCACAGTACAATAAATAGCTGAATGAAGTCCACCTATGCACAATTCCAGAGTGACATGATTTCAGATTTAATACATCTGTTTCTGGAAGGCCCCAGAGTTTGCTGGAAAGCATATCTGAATAAGCAGCATCACAAAGACCAAGAAGATAGCAAAACAACTCCAGAATAAGGTTATGCACTGAAGTCGGTTTTTCAAACTATGAACGTTCCCCAGAACACTGTTAAATCCATGATTACGAAATAGAAATAATATGGCTCAGCTGAAACTTTCTCTAGACAGGGCCATCCAGAGAAACTCAGTGACCAGGTAAGGAGGGTATTACTGAGAAAAGGAAGCAAGAGAACAATGGCAACTTTGAAGATGCTGATCTGCAGCTGAGATGGAAGAAACCATTCATGGGACAACTATCACCTGGATGTTCCACAAATCTGGACTTAACAGAAGAGTAGCAAGATACAAACCCACCATCAAAACCCATTTCAGGTTTGCAAAATGGCTTGTGGAAGGTATAGCAAACATGTGGATGAAGGCTTTTTGGTCTGTTTAAGCCAAAATTGAACTTTCTGTTCTATCTGCAAAATGTTATGTGTGGCACAAAGCCAAAAGGACTCTTTATCTAAGAATACCATCTCCACAGAGAGGCAGGTAGCAGCAACATCATGTTGTGGGGACACTTTTCCTTGCTAGGGACTGAGAAATTGGTCAGGATTGAGGGCAAGATGGAAGAAGCCAAATACAGGGTAATTCTAGAAGAAAAAAAAATTCAATCTACAAGGGATCTGGAACTGGGGAGCAGTCACCTTCCAGCAGAACAGTGACCCTACAATACACAGCCCAAGTAACATTGGGGTGCTTTAAAAACAAGAACCTGAATCTGTTAGAATGACCCAACTGAAGTTCAGAGCTCAATCTAATAGAGAATCTGTAACAAGACTTGACAGTTTTGTTCATCAAATGTGTATATCCAAGCTGACAGAGATGGAACAGTTTTACCAGGAAGAATGGGCAAATATTGTAGGATCCAGAGGTGCAAAGCTGAGGCTTACCCAAGAAGATTTACAGCCATAATTGCAGCCACTTGTGTCACACCAACCAGTTTGTTTTTGTTTATTAGCTCCTGTGCCACAATACAAATATTTTGCACCTTCACAATGTTGAGTATCTTGGTAACAATGTCAATTAAATCCACTTCAATACCAGGTTGTAACATTGCACAAAGTGGAAAAGTCAAAAGAGCTGAGTGTATTTCTGCAGAACAGTGTATATTTCCTAAAGCCAGAGTATGTAAATCAGGCTTGTTGGATCAATTTTCCTTTCTGCCAGCATGTTGTGGGCTACTAACAAGAGTTGGATACAAAATGGTGACTCAGGATATGGAGTCAATTATTGACTGCACCCCATGAACCACTAGTATAGATACAAATCTGTATGTGCATTCCCTGAGATCAAGGCGTATAATACAACAGAACATGCATGGAACCAGAACTAGTCAAAACACAACTCCTTTTAACTGAACAGCAAGACTGAGAGATAGACCATCAGCACAAAAAGCCACACCAGATTTCTCTCACAGTATCATCACTAACTTAAATTCCATAAGTCTAAGCATGACTGGGCCTGGATCAGAACCAAAGGCTGTATTCTCACAACATGCTAAACCATGCTGCAAGTATACTACCCACGATGGGTGGTTCACAGAACAATTCATAGTGCACCCAACAGGGGGTTGCGTGCTTTGTGGTTGGTTCTTCCCTTCCTACTCTCTTGGTTCTCTGGCCAGTATCCCAATGTCATTTATAGTAAGCCCACCTTGTGTCACCCTTCCTGATCCAGTTGCTACACTTTTTTATACACTACCTTTTCCTTCTTTTAAACTGGGGCTTCCAAAAAGTGTAATTGGGGGGATATTTTTTAATTTTTTAAGCCCCAGAAAACTGTACAATTGTGTATTTTTACATTAATGTAGGTAATCTTTCACAATTGTGCAGGAGCATGTTTATGTCTGCCAGAAATGAGAAGTCTTGCCTAGTCAATTTCTTTGTCTCTTGTGAAAGGGAATCATGCAATAGAGTAAGAACAGATTGAAATGTGAGTTCATATAAACATATCTGCACATAAGTTGTCAGGGAGTGGTTCCCTAGCTGTAAATTGAAAAGGGAATAAAGCAGCCAATGAAAGTGTACCCAAAGGTGGGAAGCAGTGTGGACAAAAAAAAAAAAATCAATTTTTAAATGATTGATAAGTCATATGTTTTCATTTAAATTGGATTTTTATTTAAATTGAATTTTAAAATATAAAATACTTTTGGAGAAAAAATCTATCTAAAGATAGCTATCTATTTAAGATACTGTATAACCCAAAGTTTACTCATAAGGAAATAAGAAATGTTTTTTAATTATGTAGCATGAAGCAGTATATTCATGCAATGTTTACATTTTTTGGTAAACGAATTCCATCAATCCATTCATAATATCATGATCTTCTAGAGGTTTCTGTAAGATTATTGGGCAATTTTTCTATCTAGAAGATATTATCACAGATGCTTGCTTATACAGTTCTCAAAACTGTGAATTTATGTCTGCAAAGACCACACACCTCTTCTTCACAGCAAAAATGTTATAAAATAAACATACAGAGAAAAAGACATTAATCCCATTGTTCTCTTGCAAATCTATGTCCGCAGAATCAACCCATTACCTCTTAAGTGCTAAGTTTCAAAAAATTCAATGAATAGAAG